ATGAATTTTGTCCCCCCCCGCCGCCAGTTACTCATTCCAGGTGTCTGTGGCCTTTACCCAGCCAGTTTGCTACTGAACCAGTTCCCAGCTGCGCGGCTGTTAGGATCCCTTCGTTTTCTCTGGTGAGGTGACATTTTCATTCGAAGGTCTGAGGAATGTTCATTCTGGGGTCACAGGATGTATGGTTTTCTTCCATTCGGGAAAGATGACTCCACAAACTCAGTGTTGTCTCATGTCTTATTGATAATTAGGCTGGTATTCTCAGATGAATTAATCGCGATACGCAATTTCAATAACTCTGAGTGGTCCCTTCATGTCTACTAATTTCTTACCAAAGAGTTCAGGCTTTCAGACCCTGACAATTGTTGAAATAGTTAACCACATAACTAAAGTTACTGCGATGATAGTGTATTTTTCGAGCTGCTGATAAAAGCTCCACTGCTCCCTATTTTGACTGCTGAAATACATTTTTGATACAGCGAAATATTAGTGGATATATTTGCTCAATTCTCAATCGTAAGTAGCGGTGGTCTTTACAAATTTCATGCAAATTGTCTGCTGGATGTCTAGCAAAATCCGAATTTTGACTCACGGTTGTCTAATACTTCAAATGTTTCCTTGCACTACTTACACACAAGACGCCAAAATGGACTTCTAACTACTAGTTGGATGGAATCCATGTGTGTTATTGTAATTTCGCATGCTCCGCTCTTACTTCCGGGTCTCCAGTCTACCTCTCAAACCCTGCTGGGATGTCCTATTCGCGAACTGGCAATCATCAATCGAGTCCACAGAATTCTACTTTACTCTAACGGGATTTTATTTGTGCAAGAGCTATGCATGCTAAAACGTCCAAGCAATCAGACTAAAGCCAATCAAGCTTAGCGTGAAGCCGTACCACTTATTAACCTGCCTCGAAAATTAACAGATGTTCAAATATCACGGCTTTCGTTGCCCAGTGGTCGGTTCTTCTGATAGAATTGATTGCATGTGACTCGACAGCTGCGGATGAACTGAAAGGCATCGAATAAGCGAATGACATTCAGAGCTTTTCCGTGCTCAGTTTCGCGGCTGACTTGCCTGATTCTGAATGCGTGGTAATCCTATGCGGCTGGAAAAAACGTTCTGGACGGAGAAAATAATTTGCTTTTTCTGGCAAGTAGCAGATAGCAAGGAAAGCTTGATGTACATCACAATTTATTAGAACCATATTTAACAGAAAACAAGTAGCCAGCTACAAAGAACATACTTTAGTCTGTGCTTGGTGATGTTCCATATGTGCCGTGTGCCATGCGCCATGTATGACTCACATATTCAAGTGAGCAGAAGGTCATACCGTATCCAACCACAGGTGTAAGAAACTGATATCCAATAACGGGAAGGCTACATCCTTCCGTTCCCTCCACGTATAAAGCACGAAAAATGGTACATCTCTATGGCCGCCTTATCGACACAATTATCGCTTTCTTGACATAACACTACACTACTTAAAAGGTCGCTGAAAACTCTCCGACGGTGCACTACCGACCCCTTTGACGCTTATCAGGTGGGGAAGCTGCCTAAGACACCAGACTGCAACTGGCGGAATATAATTACTTACGGACTAAAATGACATTCAGGTGATACCCAACCGGATCCTAGCTGAATCTCACGAATATCCGACCGTCTAACTGTCGGACTGTCGCGTAAACATTAATCCTTTGATTATTTAATCCATCAGTCCATTCAAAATATGAGACCAAATAACGAAACCTAAGAAAGTTTTTAAAATTTGCGAACGGATTAAAAGGAGGATTCTCCAACAGGCGAAACGTCTGCGTAATTTAATTGGCAATCTACAGTCAAGCGTTTCCTTTTAATGGGTCACGGACAGACTTGCACTTACCACGATGTGACTGTCTGTTAACCTCTTTAAACCACTAATTTATGATAGGAGGAGTAGATGTGACACTTGGGAGGTCGGAATACGCCCCATAGAAATGCAAGCAGCTCTGACTGTCCTACGCCAGCCACCATTACCTTGCGATTGAACTTTTGAGCCAAAGGCTTTGGTTGGGGAAATTAGTTATTCTCCTGTTTAGGTCTAGGCACCACGGCAGTATTGCACACTTACAAATAATCTCATGCCACACCGGCCTTCTCGTGGTGCCAACATCCGGCTAACTGAAAAAAGTTGTCGCTGATTCTCCCTTCTTTTTCTCTTACATATTCGTTCCTATTTTGCTATCCATGATGTTGGAAGTGATAACTCCGTAAACCCATTATTAATGGCTGGCAGTTCCACTCAGCGCCTATTGCCACTAGCTGCAATATTCATGCATAATTCGGTCACAAAGGCCGAAGAGACTTGTAATTTTTCAAGCCTCAATTCATCTGTCAGCTTTCTGTTCGACAGTAAATCACCACAGTTCTCCCCAGCTGTCGATAACTTTTTTCTTCCAGTGACGATCCGTCATAAATTACTTTACATAGCCTGGAGTTTTGACTGGCTCTACCAGCGTTTCACCCCGGCCCAGAACGGAGCTTGATATTCACTTAAAATAATGTGGAAGCCAAACGTAAATTGTTCATCAGATTAGTCAACATTCGGCCTGAATTTCGCGGAGAATATGCAGGAAATAGGTGGATCCTAATAACGCATAGGACTACATGGATTTCAAGAACATTCAAGCACGAGTAAAAGGTTTTAAGCTATCAGTATGCCGTAATTAGTTTGGGGCAGTTCATGTCATTTGAGACAATATAGAGGGTGTCCTGCAACCAACGAATGGAAGTACACCCAGCGCTGGTACTCAAATTCTCGTAACTTAGACGTACATGCTAGTGCGTTATTCAAGCTTCCTAAGTTTTGATGCGCGATTTAAAGCCAAACAACCGGAAAAGTGATAAAGCCATTTTTTGTTTTGCACTGTATTCGTTTTTGAGAAGGCGCAAAAGACAGCGGAAGTCTGTCCATGCCACTTTGAAGTCTAGGGAATTGTAGAAGGTTGAGAATGGGAAATCAACAACGGAAAAAAGGTTGTCTCGTAGGAAGCGTGTGCGCACTTCTTGACAGCCTCCAGGTTTAACGCATTCGTCGGTTCTCCGGACATGTATCCGCTCCCGCTTGTGGCAAGAGTCAGTAGTAAAGATAGCAATTACGCCGGAGGCTACAAAGGCTTGCAGGATCGTTGGTTTGTCCAAAATTTTGATTTACTCCGGGCGTCAGAACTCTAGCCTGCTTCTCATTTGTTAACCGTTGTTATGGTGATCACCAGAAAAGCAACAGGACACCATCACAATGAATAAGGCCATATGACTGCGAGATAAAGCCTCACCTATGAACCGGTTTGTCAGCCGATCTTTGAAGTCGGGAATTCATAACAACAAAATCAGTGTTCTTTGTGGTTGCCATTTTAGGTATATCAACACACAGCCGCTCCAATGGTCAATCTGATCTTTCAGGGTTACATGGCCACTTGTTTCGCTTACGGTCAAACGGGATCCGGCAAAACATTTACCATGGGTGGACCAAAGTCCGGATCTAGCCGCCTACCAGTGGTGGAAGGTGGCATATACGGTATGGTCGGTAAGTCAAGGTTAGTCTCCAGTGCTGGCTATTCATCACATTCAGATCATGCGTGCATTCTACACCTTGAGTGGCTATTAGTTTTTTGAACCTATTCAGATAGGAGATCAGCAGTTATTACTTGGGTGGAGAATGATGGAGAACGACAGCGTAAATTGTTCAAACATGTCCCACAGTAAGATACAAACACCGCTATTGTAACACGTGGACTGTCTCCATGAAGTCCCAAAAATCTTACGTTTCATCAGAATCTGCCAGAAGTATAAATTAGATCGGTGAAAGTGCATTGCGTTCCCGCATCCTAGAGTGTCCAAATGTCACTTGAAAATAATGCTCACAGATCCTAACTCTTTCAGCAAATTTGATGACTCTCCTGACTTTCGGCGGGATTTCATTCACTTTTCAATCCGCTTCAATAATTAGGTGAGCAGTTATATGTCTGAAAATGTCAAGCACACACCAGTCGATCCACGCCACCCTCATTATCCCCATCGAAACACTGGCGGAAGATGGCAGACCTCGGAAAATTAGCAATGCATGTAAAGTTTTTAATTTCAAGGGATTAACTTACGACCAACATGAGGAACAAACTTGCCTAAATGATAAATGCTTGAACTTCAAAGACCCCATTTAATGCCCTAGTGCAATGAACTAACAAGGTGAATTCAATTTACCACGTAGACCCATCGCGTTGTTCCAGAAAACAAACTATTGGCTTGCTAGTGTATCCATCGCACTGCTAGGCATTCAGAAAATGCTCAACTATAGCGAATGTGCCATAGTCCCGGGGCCTTATATAGGTGAGTTCGCCATGATCTACAAGTCAGCTGACTTCACCGAGCTCCCACTCTCAGACATACAGAGGGGCTAACGAAAAAACAGCGTCCTTCGGTGGGTACTCTTTTCTACATTACGGTCATACTGTGGAAATGCTCTCTTCGCGTCTGCAGCGTACATGTTCGGGAAGAGTGAGGCCAATTTATAAACGGGTAAAATCTGTGACCACGAGATTAAAATTTCAGCCATGAGGACTAGATGCGGTACTTGCAGCAGTGAGTCATGAAAACATACACGGCAAACAATCGGTCTTTTGTGAAAAGCACAAACGAACCTACCACACATCTAACGCTCAAGCATACGGCTGAACCGAACCACTAGAAGTAAAAGTAGACGATGAGCGATAAGTAGTTTGGTTTTTCGTAGACTCATCGGTGAATGGTGGCTGTCGTGGTCCATTGCAGTTCAGTTTTTCAGCTAAAAACTCTGCAACGAAGTCCAAGGGTTCCAGCTGTTATCGCTTCATTCACCAAGAGACGAGTTCATTAGCGTTAATGGTTCTCTTTGCCCATTTCGCTAGGAAGTTGGGGAGTTACGTAGTCAAAACGATAGCTATGGTTCACGGTTGCCATTGGCTTGTGGCATAGCCTTATCAGCTGAAGTCACCAAACGTTGGTTGGCCTCATCATAGTTCCCCATCCGGCGTGATGGTCGTCAGATTAATTATGAAGGGATCCGCCACCGCATTACAGTAGTGTAGAATGTTAGTCGCCAGGTGCTTTGTTACATTGAAGCAACGAAATATCATGCTGAACTTTCGTTGTCACGAACTGGTTTCGACATTTCATCCGGGTTAGTACGGTTCTCCTAGGGGCTGAGTTAATGTGGACCAGCTGAGATGTTTAAGAAGTTTAGTCCATCGTTCCAGAAAACGCTTCTGTGGACGAAGTGAGATCCCATTCCCTTTCTGGGGACCGTTTCACTAACACCCACCCTCGTCGGACCATTTAGTCTGACTAGCTGAAATAGAGTTTGCTTTTCCTTTAAATCAGTCCCCGTTTCTCCGATTTTTGCTATCCATCAGCACTGCCTGTAATTTCTCAGATGGCCCATTATTCGGTGTGTGAAGGTTCTGCGTGCACTGTCAATGCCGTTTTTTACCGGTACAGTTTAACTAAGAATACTGTGAGGTGCTGATCATGGAAACATGCCAGTGTTCATTAGGGTGTACAGCCGGCTTCAAGCAGAAGGCTTTTAAAACCTGTGAGAGTGCATTCTTCAACCGCTCCATAGTTATCATTCAAACGTGGCAAGATGGTTCAAGTGATTAGAGCGCGAATTTACTGACCGACTTCCTCTTTTCAGGCTTGGGCAATCTAACAGTATTCCACCCCTTGTGATTCCTTCGGGTAGCATGGTAGCTAGGCACCAAGAGGGTGCTAGAGTTGAACAATTTTTTATCATCTAAATCGCCATTAATAATGATGCTGGCTAGGGGTTGGTGACTAACAGATAGCAACCAGTGAGCACCTGGACTGAAAGTTTGATCCCTCTGTAAGCAAATGAGTTTTTTTAGCGCGTAAAGAAACAAGTCGCCTCCAAGCACTTGTGCGGTGAGTGCCACTCCCGAGTAGGCTTCATAGTTTGGCCTCCTCTGGAGGCATTTGGCCGAGTTAGACATTCATATCACTTATCAAAATTAGAACACCTGTACTACACGGTCACCCCGCGGTAACCGAAAGAGAAGACAATATCTGAGCAAGGGATCCCAACAGCACAATTTGACAAGGTGAGGAAGATGCGAGTAGCAATGTGAAACAGATCCACTGAAATTTACCATTAAGATTAGACGTCACCTAGGTTTAGGTGGCCAGCAGCTTAAAAAAGCAGAACTTGGTTTAGAGGCATTTTAAGAGGTCCGCGAATGAACAGCTGTTATGGTAGTCGGGGTCAGCAGGCCCAACTAGGCACTGTCGTGAAATGGATGTAAGGAATTAGACTGAAGTGGTTGCATGAGAGTGAGGAGAAAAAGAACTGCGGCTTGAGGCGGATTAATTGCCACTTCTTCATATCACACAAACTGAAGAAAATTTGTGGTATAAAAATGCAAGTTGGGATGGGACTGAGCATACTTGTGTTCATTGCAGTTCAAATTTCAAGCTAGATGCCTTTCAATGGTGTTTGTCGGTTTGGATTAACAGAGTAGATCGATGCAGGGTTCTCAAATTTATCGTATCCAAGTTATTCGATATACCTGATCTACTGGAATTTCTATTGAAAGAGAGCACCGATTAACTGAGGGCGTCAAAGTGTTTTCTGTATATTCGTTTTTCACCTCATCTTATGCTGATCTAGAGAACGAGTCCACACATGCTGTTGTACTAATAAAATACTGTGACTTCACTGTTCCTGATTCTGAATAGCCAGGAGACAGTTTTAGGGTCATAGTCGTCCGTGTTTCTGTCAAATCGCTGTGCTAGCGGAGTTTACACGACCCCAATGATTTGCTGTTCAAGAATAGCAGCTGATCAGCCGTGCATGGCGCGTTAGTCGAAATTTATTGCGTCATCCTGCCTAACTACCTCGTCCGCTGCAGGTGAGAAAGATTGGCAATATTACCAAAAGATATTTTGTTACATTTCCAATAATCCAATACTTTCAAATCGCTGTGCTAGCGGAGTTTACACGACCCCAATGATTTGCTGTTCGAGAATAGCAGCTGATCAGCCGTGCATGGCGCGTTAGTCGAAATTTATTGCGTCATCCTGCCTAACTACCTCGTCCGCTGCAGGTGAGGAAGATTAGCAATATTACCAAAAGATGTTTTGTTACATTTCCAATAATCCAATATTTGGTCTTTGATCAAAATCGCACTGCGGTTTTTATTTGTCTTTGGGCTCTTAATGTAGCGACCAATACATTCCAAAGCCGTAAATTTAGTGGAAGAGGGTTGTTCCTAACCAACGAGTCTAAATAAGTTTTGCCTTCTGATCGACTTTCCTTTGGGTCACCACCAAATTGTATTCTTACATCCAGTCGTCCATTTTTGCTGCATGCATATGTGGAATATATGTGGTTGGTTTATGCGCCACTTTCCCCTTCCCTCAAAAGACTGGCGTTTTCAACCCTGTTCTGCCTCTCCACCTGATTAAATGATTGTGTCCGCCCCCTTGGTGTAAACATTCTCGGCCGCCACAACGTTTTTCCTACCTAAGGTGGCATCACTTTTCCTGAGCATATTTGCATAGTTGGAGATAATAGCCCTACCTGTGCAAGTTTAATGTGAATAGTGTCTGTCGGACTGACCATGGTCTGTCGATTGCGCCGACACACGTCTGAGAACTTGACGTGCCATGATAGAGCGGCAGAGATTTGATTCTTATCAGGATTGTGGGGAAACGGTAAAACCTTGAGCTATTATTTAACCACGGGATTTGGTGGCCTTCACATCCCTCAAACCGTACACATGTAAGTAAGCAGCAAATAACATTGGATTCATGGCAGATATCAGTAAATTTGATGAGGATATTTGTTGGGCGTGGTCGCTTCACAATCAGAGTGCGTTTTTCCTGTGGTCACCTGTTGCCCAAGAGTGGTACCGCACACCTCTCACCGTCCAGGCAAAAACAAAGTGGAAGTTGAGCTTATCACTGTGGGGCGAGTATGCTCGGGAAACTTTGTAAATTCGAAAATTGTGGATGATAATTGGAGTGACTCGCATTTCTTTTCTCCAAATTGAACCTCCTTATTTGTCCGTTGCTAGTCCAATAGGTATATTGGTGACATTGAAATTCATCCATGGTGGACTTTACTCATTGGTATGATGTACAAATGCCTCTTCTACAATCATTGTCTTTGCAGACCAGGTGAAGCCTTGACCTATATCTGTGATGTTTGTGTTCAAACCTTGGGTTTGAACGTTTAAAAGTCAACTGGGTATTGTGGATCTCTTAAGCACATAGGATGGAGCATACCCATGAATGGTTCCGTGCAAAACGTTGTGAAATTTACGTACGCGGTATGACAGATTTATAAGTAATAAAGTCATTATAGCATCCAGAGAAAATGAAAGTGGATTAGACGGTGATTCAAATATCTTCACCCAGTACTCGTCTTTTCGAGTTTGAGTGACCTTTACCAACGAAAACATGTTTTACACATTAGAAAGCTCCTGCCAGTTGTGTAGAAGCAAATTGTCGGTTCTCACCATATCCATACTCCTATCAGACTGGTTCTGGGGCCTTCGACTATCACTCAACCCCCCGTTGGTTTTGGCTATATAATACGAACGCTTACGTGTTACCTTTTGTCCTATCCTCCTTAGTTGAAGACTTGTTTTCCCTTTACGAAAAAATGAACTATTCTGCGGATTATACGGTCAGCGTCAACTATTTTGAAATCTACTGCAACAAGGTGGGTGAACGTACTCAACTTACTTCTTTATCCATTGAGGAAGTTGAAAATATTACGAATTCATACCCTAAAAATGTCGGGCACTGCGCATTCAATGAATTTTCTGTAGTCATCCACTTCATTTACCAAATTATCAGGCATTATTCCTTTCATCGAATTCCCCACATTTTTAACGAACTAGCACATGGATTAGGTACCCTTTCAATGAATCTATAAAAACCTGTCGTTACTATCAACACCCGGCCAAACACAGCCTTTCTAGAGTGCTTGAATTTGTACCGTCACGTCATGTGCGATTCATCGCCCGTTTACAGAATATTTCACAAGTTCACAATCAAGTACACCTAGATTTCAGGATGTTAGTTAACCTAGAGATAAGTATTGAACTCCTTCTGTTCGGTACTAAATAATTCCGTATTTTGCTGCAAAATTTAGTAATAAACTACCGTAGGGGTAGAAGGCGACACAGAGCTTGCATCAAATTACAGGGCAACAGAGACAACCAATAGCTGTCCGAGTGGTGGCCAAAGCCAATCCACCAATCATCTCAGTATTTGACAACGTACAACTAGAGGTCAACGCGATTCACCCACATCGGGTTTCGTTTGTTTTAGTCAGTGATTCAGATAAACGAACGGAGCGCTGCAAACAGTCAGCAGCCGTCTGACACAAGGCTACTAAAATACCGAATAGGGATCTAAACGACCACAATCCAGTGGATTCGAACAACAAACTCAGCGTTCGTAAGGGCATCCAGGATGACTATTTGTCATCCTTCCGCCGTCAAATGACCGACTTGGTAATTACCAGAGTTTAGTAACCTACTCTTGGCTTTTAACTCAGCGGCATTTTACTGGTAGCCTGTGATCCGAGATTCCAACTTCTAAAATTCCAATGGAATTTCAACGTTTGCAAATTACGTAGTAACGTACTCTTGGCTTTTAACTCAGCAGCATTTTACTCGTAGCCTGTGATCCGAGATTCCAAATTCTAAAATTCCAATGGAACTTTAACGTTTACAAATTACGGTAAACAAAGTATGTAGGGATAATGTAACCCAGCTGAACAAACACGTTGCTGCATTTTCCTTGTATGGAAAAAACAGTCCGCAGTGTTCAACGGTGCAGGCTGCCACTGAAGAACTCCTCTACGTAGTGTGAGAAAAGTTTTGGATTGGAATTGATTGCGTTTTGGGATTAAAACTGTTTGAATAAATCAGAAGTAAAGTTAATCACAACAGTTAACCCCCCCTGGAGCTTTTGTGATGCAAATGGTCTCCTATCTGCAGGGTGTCGATCATAGAAGAAAGCATGGGGAACCATCGAACAACGGAGTAAGAAAGTGTTATGTAGTGAATGCAGTTCTACACGTGAAAAGACAGGGTAATTTGATGGCGAAAAACGTTTTCGGCTGTTAGCTAAAATAAGTGCACTTGGCTAATACAGTGGGCAGGAGCTTAAGATAGAGGTGTAACATTCTCCAAAAGCCGCCCGACAGAAAGCAAGTTAGCTAGATTCTGTTCGTGAAAGTTTCAGTTTGAGATGGAACACTTTGTAGCGGTTAACTGAGAGACTATGCAAAGACTGTCTCATGTGGGAACCACGTTTTTGGATGTGTGTACTTATTAAGAAGGGATTTGAGTAATCAGTTAAATATAGGACCTTCGAAATTGCTAACTTTCTTGTATTCCAGCAGCAGACAGTAGTTGAAGTTAGTTGCTTTGGTTCGGGCTTACGAATAAGTCAACTGTGCACGTAAATTGTTTCCAGTTTGTTACAATCAAACACTAAGAATGAGACAAAATGACTATCTATTAGCGTTTGTACAGCAGGAGCCCTCCTTTGATAGCGTCTTGCAGGACCAGCTTTTGTACCTTCATAAATTTGGTCTTCGCCTCCCCGTAGGAACGTGTTTCGAGGGAATAAATTACAATTTAGGCAGCCTATGTTCTGAAAAAATGTATAGGGAATATACGCTATCCTTTATACACTGCAAACCTAGTATCGGAAGGATCAGCAACATGAGTGACGGAGTGAAGAAACGTTTGAAGACCTGCATTAGTATCCGGCAGGGAAATATTGGCCGTTTGCTTTTGGGTGCCCAGCTCAGTTCGCAATTCAGAAAAACCGAAAAAACTGGGCAATCACTATTCATTAGTCTTCGGTTTTTCCGGCTAATCCACGATGTTAAATACTGGACGTGGTTTGAATGAGACCTGGTCAGCACAGACTCTGGACACGGCCTAGTACTGTAGATATTCCAACTTCCAGAGAGGCTAATTTGATTTTTTATGTCAGCAGATTTTGTATTTAAACTCTGCCTACTTCCAAACAACAATATGCACCAAACGGTTATCGCAGAAACTTTGAAGAAGCCTAACTTCACAAGAGTCTAAATCCATCTTCTTTAATGGGTTGCTTCTCAATTCGGAATCGTAAACTAGTCCTTGGATGTTGAGAAACGCCCACAAGGATACGCCAGCGACGATACCTTGTAGCGAAGATGTTTAGCGTTGGACTAAGTCGTTTCTCCCACAAGATTTCATTGTTCAAGGAATCAGCCTTTCTTACTTCAGCGTGAAGGCGTCGACGGATTGACCGTGTGACACGCAGCTGACCCAGATTCAACAGTCAGCAGCCGTATAATTGAAATTGGAATGCTTTTGACGGGCTCTTAACGAGCATCCACCAACTGATGAAAACAAACCACCGGTGAAGATACTGAACTGAAAAATTCTTTCTATTTGGTTTACCCTTTAGTTTTCTTCGAAGATTGTGGTGATTTCACTTGTGATTCATTCAGGTATATGATCTACTCAACCAAAAGCTCCAACTCCGTGTGATGGAAGATTCATTTGGCTCAGTGCAATTGCTTGGACTGCGTGAGTACTTGGTGAAAGATGCTAAAACAACGCTGGGGTTACTGAGACACGGCTATCAACTCAGAACGAACGGACAAACTTTGGCCAATGAACAATCTAGCCGATCACACGCAATATTTCAGGTTTAAATCGCTCCTTTTTTAGTTTCTCATGTTGTTCGTTTTACCTAATATGCCGTTGTTTTCCTTGTCAGTCTAACTTTGTTTCTCGGTTTCAAGGCAGGGGCAGTTAGGTGCAAAATTTAGCTTTCTGTTCGATCAGTTGTCCAGTTGACCATAAGTTCTTGGTAAAGTAACGGTGGATGTACTGTACAATTTAAAATGGTTTAAATGTGCGCCACATCTATTCAGTTCACAGGCTTTTACATGCGTCACACTCGAGGTAAGAAACGAATGTGACTGGTGCTAAAGCGTTGTGCCTACAAAATTACTTCGATAATAGTCTGTTCTGTGGCCCTAAAAATTGGACTGTCCTATATGTAGACAAGTATTCGATCACCGATGTACCCGTAAAATGTCAGCCGTTAACCTCCCGCAGCACATGCGTTATAAAACGGTCCATAAGCGACTCATCATCATCGTTGATAGCGGCACACCAGTAGCACACATTGGCGATTAACCGTCATGAAATTATGAGGGGTGAAAGCCCTAGTAAAGAGTGGGAATAAAAAAGGGGAGTGAGAAATTAGAGCGAAGAAACCCACTATGTTCTTAAGGGAGACAACCACGGACAGCACCAAGATAAACACACTAGTGCATCATATCGAATCAAGATGCCTTAAGCGGAATCAATCCAGCGTGTTCTGCGAAACCCATTCGACATTGCACGATAACAGGCGAACTTTAGTTGAGCAGTCCGTTTGGGAAATGACAGCGTACGCGCAAGTGAGATCGGTTGCGTACCATAATATGGATAGTCTTTATTAACGTGCCCAAGCCATGAAGGCGCGAAGACCTTACAACATTCAGTTTGCTAGTGGTCGCTTTCATTTCACGTTGCTGTGTCATGGCTATCTACCGCAAGCCTTTTGCCAACACTGGTTTCAGATACCTAATGATGCTTGCTTTGGCGGACAGTGGTCACGCGTAGGTAATACATGCTCCAACTAACCCAGCCTTGTACGTTTAATCTGGTGCTCTAAAGATTCAGACTTGTTACTAAATACCCCATTAGGCAACTGTACGGTGGTGAAGCGTCAGTACTAAGACCAATGTCGCCATCTCTCATGATGATGATCCTGGTACACGCTCGCTGCAGCCAGCCACGTCTTGCTAAGCTACAAAAACACCGCTGATCTGAACTTTGAGGTATTCAAGGTTGCTGCATCAGAGAAGCCAAGTTTCATAACCATAAGTTAAGACCACTCTTTCAACTGTCTTGTACGCACGGTTCTTCAGTTTCAGAAAAAAATTGTCCTTGATGCCAATAATGACGCAAGTCTTTTTCACATTGCTCGCGTCTTGATTATTCGTGCACTGACTTCGTCCGTTACAATATCCTGATGACTTGTGCAGTTGCCAAAATAAGCTATCAGGTCAAGAAAGTCAAGTTCTTCATTCTGAAGTTTCAGAGAAGTGTGAGACGATGGGCAATCCTGAAATAATACCTTCCAATTTGAGCGTGAAAAAGTAAGCCAAAACATACGAACGTCTCTAAATTTCTGGTAAAGCACTTTGCGCTAACGACTTATAGTCGTTCGGACAATTCAAGTCCATTATTTCACCCCCAACCGTGATTTTGGTACCAAGATTTATGAGAGGGGACAACTTATAAAGAACTCCTTTGAGCTGTGATGAATCTTGTAGACCTCAACAGTCACCCAGAAAGAGCAGCAGGAAGAGTATATGAAGACTTTGATGGATCTCCATTCAAATGAGAATAATAAAAAAGAAATGATCAATCTATGGAATTGAAGTCCCATCTAAAGTCTAAAGGTACCTGGATTGTTGGTCGGCGGCATGTGTAACACTGCCCAAACAACTGATGTGACTTAAATAGATGGTCACTGTATCCTTCATCAGATGAAACTCCCATCTCACTTTTTCGGACTTGCGTCTTACGCGTTGCAGTGTGATAGAAACAAGCTTGGAGAAGCCCCCCACCTTGTCCGGTAATCTGATAGCAACCGGAAGTAGAATGGCATACAAGTACTTCTTCATCTGAAGGGATCTATGCTCACGGACAGTGGGTCAAGAAGAACGGGTCAAATGTAAAGGATGAGCATATGGATAGAGGGTCAGCTCAACTGCCTAATGAACTAGACGCTGATTTTTATCACACACTGGTTTTCCAATGTTCTTTTCGATTAAATCACTCAGAGGAGGCATTTTAAATTCTTTGTTGTGAAGTCATTGGAACAGAAAGTACTAGGTGCTGAGTCGGTTTCGCCAAAGCATCGGATAAGATGTGACTGGCATGCCCGACACACCATCGATACAACGACCAAGTAACTGTCCTGGTTGTGACGATCGACTGGCCCGCACAAGTTTTCCCAGTCGGGTAACGCCGCAGACGCTTGAAACCCGCTGGACAACTTTTGTTGATGCATGTTTTGGGATTTTCGGGATGTGTATTGTTCACAGTCACATCACTCTCGTTTGAAAAGACGTCCTCCTGTGAACATTTTCGCCCGTTCAGACGTGAGAATTCAGATGCGTCCAACGTACGCTTGTGGATTAGTAGTAACACGTTCGCCTCGCATGTCAGGTGTCCGGAGTTCAAACCCCGGCACGGCCATTGGGTATGCGCTTCTGCTGAGCTCTAATAAGAGCGAAAGTCGAGTCCAGTGCTCCCCTCTTTGAAGTGGAATCACCCTAATAATTGTGCCAGGACAATAGGACGTGTGTTCAAACGAGACTGATGTGAGTGTGAACAATAAACGTCCCGCAAACCCCAAAACATGTATTATCAGATAAGACGCACTTGATTAGGTATTTGGGTCATGTATTACATATGCCCAACCATCGTCTAACAAAGAAAACAGTATTTTACTACCCAAACCCTTGTTGGCTAAAATCCAGGGGGACCAGAACAAGATGCCGAAGCGACGCGATTTGAAAGCGATTTCAGTTAAATTAAGTGCTGTATGGTCTTCCTGTTTTCCAGGCTGAGGTTATTTTTGCGCAGTTGCGTGTGGCTAAAAACATTACTGTCACCCCTTATCTTGAATAACTAGCTAGTGCCTGACTGTCGCTGTATGTTGAGCTTGCGTCTAGCGGTGTTCTCAGAGAATGTTTCGTCAATCCCAGCGATGCCGTATTGCCCCAACATGGTGCTCAGTTGTGCCTGTTTCAGTGGTATTTAGCTCATTACCGTTTTTTCTAGATTCAGAGCGTTGGGGAATAAGTCCCGACACCGCCGTTTCTATCCACATTTTACCGAAACTTTCTTCCTTTATGGCTTTTCTGTGGTTGTGCGCCACTTTGCAGTGACTGATTGCAATGACTTGTTAAATAGTAATAGTGTTCAGGAAGAAACGCGTCCTCAAATTCGTAGAAATTGTATTGAGTAGTCATCACGTAAAGTGAATATTTTATCGTGACATTGAGCGGCCAGTTATTGGTAACTCAAAAATAGTGATCAACCATTGATGCTTCCTAAGAAAAAGTTAGGCGATCTGTTGAGTTCGTTGGCCAAATTGACTTTTCGTTTCACAACAAACTGTAACCACGGAGCTGTTGGATGCCGCAACAAACAGTTGGATAAACTGTGCTATTACCCAAGGGGGTGATACAAATGATATTGTACTCCTAAGGAAAAGGGCTAAATAGTTCCATCCCACCTTCCGTGAACTGGGACAGATAGGGTGAAAGGGCTAAATAGTTCCATCCCACCTTCCTTGAACCACCTGAGAGAGATAACTCCGAAAATGGAACACTTTAGTCACTCAGGTTGAAAGGTGCCTTTTTTGCGTATACCAAACCATATTCAAACTCATATTTTTAGTTTCCCGTTCATTTTATCATCGAAAAGTTTCCACTGTCTGACAAGAAGCAACCCCCAAATTCAGTCAGGAAGAACTTCAGAATCTTTCCTGCGGCTAGTTTTCTTCGCTGAATATATCCGGTCGCAGTCTGAGTAAACAGAAATAGCAACCGAAAAGCGGCTACCCAAATGCGGTCTAAAACCTATTTTCCTCTCAAAGATAGTGGTGTTTCGGGAACAGCGTAAAAAGAGCCTGTAGATAAGCACTATTTTGATGAAGCCATGTTAAGTAATTTGGCCTTGTTACGCGGAAATGTCGTTTTTTTGTTACTGAACAGTTCCAGAAAAGAAAGATTTGTAAAAACATGTTAAAACAGATTCACAACCTCAACTCAGTGCAAAAACCAGCAAATTTAACGAAAAGGATCATGTCTGCTATGGAGGCACCCTCTGTCTACGTTGAAAGCTTTAGAAAGATTAAGAACCTACGAATGAATTTGGAAGCAAATGGAAAAATAGACAACCCGTGAAAATGATGCATTGCTTTGAAATCTGCTCTTATTTGCAGTTGTGAGATTAGTTTTCAGCGCCAAGGCACTTCTACTTGCACATGCGTTCTAATAATATTGTTCGTAGTTTTGTTCCACTGGCTAAACGGAAATGAAATTTTTCATTCGAAGAGTCGAAAAAAACCAACCAGCTGTAAATGTGCGTACGTTTTCCCGGTGACACAAACAAATACAAGGTGCTCATCTACAGGAAGTGTTAAATCATAATTACTATGTTGAACGCCTGTTATCGGAATGCCACACAACAAGTTACTTTCTGCCGCGCGCCGTTCACAGGTTTGCCTCAACCAACATACCGTTTAAACAAAACCTTCAATCATGCTTGAATGCTCAGGGCAACCATATTTTTCTGTAAATTTCGTTTGCTTCACGCAGCTCGGAGAAGTTCCACAGTTCGACAAAATCACTGAATTACCGACTACAGTGTATAACTAGCGGCCACCAAATTCCAAGTGAAAAGTTCTAGACAAATAATCACTCTTGCAGAACTCAAAAATGTTACAAAGGGTTTCTGAAGATGGGCATAGACGAAAGGTGAAGTATTAACCTCAAAGTGCGACAATAAACAGCTGCTGGTGAAGACATTTTGTCTGGGACACGCAATGAGGAGGAGGACTAAGGGGCATGTGTATTGAAAACTCTGTTCCATACGGTAAAAGGAGATGTAACACTAGGTTCTTCCAAATATGCACATCAGGTTTAAGCCGTAGGGTAGGTGGCGCCCAGCTAAATCCAACGGTGGCCATATTAAGTAGCGAATGAGAATTTTAAATTCTTATGGGATGACACTATCAAACATATCAACCACATTATTGCTGGCCAAGTTTTAGCTCTACTCACACATACAATTCCACATCGATACTCCACCTCTGAGGTTATTCTCCGAAGTGAGTTAAAAGAGCGAACTTATTTTAGCGGCTATTTTTCTTTTAACAGATCAACATTCGCAACCGACTTCCAGAAGATCGCAAGCGGCGCCAATTCCAGCAGGTTGATGAAAACAGTGAACCGAGATGCTATCAAATCGCATCAACACCATGCACGTACCCAAACCCGCATTATTCAGGCCCTTTGTATGGACGTTTTTCTTTGGTTGATTTGGCTGGAAACGAGCGGAGTGTGGATAGCGCCTCGACGTTGAATCGCGTTCAGCATCTGGAAAGTGGAGAAATCAACAAAAGTCTACTGGCTCTTAAAGAGTGCATTCGGGCCATGGGAAACAACACGACCTCTTATTTGCCGTTTCGTACAAGTAAACTTACGCAAGTAAGTATGTTTAATGTGTAATGATGAACAAATGCTAACTGATTTTGCCGTACATCAAAGATCCAGCTGACCCACCCAAATCCCACTAAACAGAAAAACTAAGAATTTGGGAAACGGCATGATTGCACGACGCGGCGGATAACGCCTGGTTTTTGTGTCTGAACACCAGATTTTTACAACTGAGCACGTATCAGTAAGATAATGAGAAGGCCAAATTTCTTTCGACTTTGTACAAAGGAAAGGCTTCTTTATGAGTTAAACGTTTGAAGGGCGTTTCCCTAAGGGATGACTCTTTAATCTGATTCATTTAAAGGATAGCCAAAACAAGGTATTATACCGTTGAGGCGGTCTTAAATCGACTGCTGCGATAAGTAAGAGTCAATTTACTTCAAGCATCTGTGATTACTACTTAAAATGCCCATGCTGTACACCACATTTTGGTATTGCAACGAGGCAACTTCAAGAAGTATTCGAAACAATATCCAGATTGGACAGCACAGTGATTGTGAAACGTTGTGCAGCCAACGCGAATATGCTTGTTCGAGGCACAATGTGAATGTACAAAGTGCAATCCAGGTTGTCTGCCATGTTTCCCCTAATCAGTTAATGGTGATCAGGGTCTGATTTATTCCAGAACACGGAGCTTTTAAGTTCGACTTTGTTAAGTCTTCCGAATATCAGTGAGTTTGTCCAAAGAGTTATACACAGGAATCAAGTCTTGATGATAAGTGCAGAGGTGTATTTTATGGATGCATGATTATATCTTAGGTTCATGTAGTCGAGGTTGCTGAATTTTTCGGGGCCGAATCGCAGTCAAATTGACGCTCGGTCGCCTGTGACAGAAAATTTCCAAAGATTCTTGTGAGCCGGTCCTAAGGAACATAACAGCCGCCTCATGTTTCTTGTCTACCTGCAGAGGAGGGAACTTAATATCTCGTGCACCATGTTTACATTCGAAAATGAAACCGGTTGGTCTAATTTAATGAAATGTTTGTGCACTAAATTGCTGCTAATCTATTTGTGGCTTATCCGACAGAAGTTGGTAGCCTATTTTGCACGTGAACATTGCATTGCTACTGCTTTACTTGTCAGTAAAACAGTGTCTCTCAGCTGTACCTTTTTCAAGTCGAACACAATAGGTTCAGTGTGATATGGACTGGGTACAATGTGGCTCACCTTTTTACAGTGTTTATTTGGTAGATAACCTTCCCGGGGAAGAACGATTTTTGTCGGTCTCGGTAACTTTATCGTTGCATCTTTATTGGAGAACATAATCCACAGGAACCACTTCTTGGTGAAAAATCCACCACCAGTGTAAATGGTGTCGAAAAGTCTTAGTTCGCCATAATAACCCCATGGTTCAACTCACCAGGCAGACGTAATGACAACCCCAGAGTATAAGATTGGTTTAACTCAGAAACGGCCAGGGGAATTCATAAGTCAACTTGTTTAGCAAAAAAAATGGGGAGCTATAATCAGGCGCTGTATTTTTGGCCCCAAAGCGTTACGCCTAGGCGTCGACGGGGGCACACTGCGCATTCTTCTGTGCATGACATTTACGAACAAAGCGTCCCGGTTTATTGCTTTCTCGATGCATTCGATTTTGTTCGCCTTCAAGCTGTGCACTGTTGAAGAGACAAAAATGCATTCTGTGCGCTTCATTACACTCAATGCATTTCAGAAGAAATTCGGATAGCAAGCGAAGCGGGTTTTGTGTAATAAAGGAGCGACCACGGTCCAAAGGTAAAAACAGCTCATAACTTAAATTAAGCTGCACATCCGTAAGACCATATCACATGAACATCAGTTGCATTCTTCTATCGTGTGATGACCCTCACATAGGTTATCCGGTCATTGATTATCAATTGAGTGACTGTTGAGCAGTTTATCGATCTTGGCGATTGGCTTTCAAACGTTTCCTCATCAGTCTAAACCTGATCATGACGTTCCTTCCATTAGTGGCCAAGGGTTTACAAGTCATTAGCTAGGTTCGAAGAACTAGTCAACACCTTATCACCTGGTTGCCTTATCACAAACCAGTAGAGGTACCGGAGCCGCCAACAACTTGGTATATTGGTATTTTAAAGTGATTTGGGTATTATTTTTGACAGACGTCTATGCCAGAAAAATGCCGATGTTATTCGTTTCTGCCTCGATCACTCTGGTCCTTTTTATGGTTGCTCGGATTTGACAACGAGAACGAAGTGAGGCCGCTCAGATTCTCAACAGGTCATTAATTGTCGATCATTGTCGGTCATTAATTGTCATTAATTGTCGTCCGCATTATTCTCCTTCCTCCGCTGTTTCTGAGTTTTGGATAAAGACATCCAAATCTACCACCTAATGGCAACCCATCCGTTAAACATCAGGTATTTGGTTCCTTTCCAGTCTAAAACAAGTCTAGATGAGCGGAACTCAGGGAAACGACAGACATGTAGAGTTTACCGGAGCATTCTGTAGTTGAGCCTTTCTCATGGAATAGATTTCACTTTACCAGTAAACACCTGTATGTATAGGGAGTTTTTTCGACGGACCGCGCTCTTTGTGAGGTCACCGAAAGTTGTTCAAAAGCCCACGAGTAATTTTACCATCAGAAGAACCCCAAGACGAGCAAAACTATTGTTACCGAGCTTTCAGAAATCTTATGTAAAGTCACGAAATTGCGCTGCTATTCTACGTATACTGTACCAGCTAAAAGGAGACAGTCTTTGTACGGCACATTTATCTAGAGGATGTCATGACAATGATTCTGTTTTTATGGCATCATGCGGTACACTGGAAGGTTTAGTAAACTACATTCCAAAAACAAAGCCGACCATCAGATGACAAGGTGCATTAACACTCAGGTTTTGACCAAGAGAACAAAATGTTATCCCTATTTACTGGTTCAAGATTGCCAACCGATTCGCTGTACCCAGGCAAATTCCCCTTTGAGAGTACACTGTCTTCCTGACTGTAGAAACCTAAGACATTTGAATTAGACACATCAAAAATCAAATACTCCGGCGGCAATTTATTTGAGCTTCTCCGAGAAATTCAACATTCCGCGAGAGTCCCTCTCCACAGCATTTTCCGTCAAATTCTGTCGCTCTCAAAACTAATCGAAATTCCACATGACGTTAGATAAACAGGTTTTTGATCCAAATAAACTGCGGCTTCACTGTGCCGGTATGACAGCACCGAGGATTACCCATAGTCGGATAACCTCTTCCGTTTTAATCAACCATATTTACACAACCCAATTTTGCCGAGCAGCTGACAGTAAGCAGTCATTTCTGGAAAAAAGTGGAATATGAAATGAGGTGGCTTTTTCGTCTGGTTTAAAACAAAAATAGCGAGGAAAGCCCCAAATTATCACGTGTAGTGCAGTCGTATAAATCTATCGGTCAAATTTGACGGCATGATTGGAAAAACCAGTAGTGAGGATTCTGTGAGTAAAACCAGACCGGGCAACAACAATCGGTATTATCTTATTTTTTTACATATTAAGTTTTTTGCCTCATAGAGTCGAAAATGGTTTGATAAAGTTTGAAAATAATGGAGTTTTGGTAGCGGTTTATGTTTACCCATGATCAGAAAACCAAATCCATTTTAAGAGAGTATTCCTCACATAGCAAAACAGTTTCTGTCGATCCACAACTGTTGTGTCCATCGACAGACCATGTTTTTCACTATTTACCAGGAATAACTTCTCTAAATAAATCCAGCAGTAGTGGGATTTCCAACCCATTGCATAAACAAAATCACAGTGAACTAAGGCTACGGTTTCAACCCGTTTCCAGAATGTCGCCGAATTGAAGAAGTTCCGGAAAATGACCGCGAAAAATTACGCAAGCACTCTTATTTTCTAGCTAGGATTGGTCATCGATCCACCTAAGACTGGGGACTTTTTTGACCGAGATGACAGCTAGTAGTATGAGAGAGTATGATAAAAGGAGTCCAAAAAGATGCAGTTACTCCAATTTCCATTTTAGGCTTTCGCATCCAACTTGATAACAAGGTCACTTTAGACCTTCCGGTTAATTTGGTTGATTTTACAGCGGATAATGATATAACTGCCAGTGGTGAGGAAGCATCAAATGAGTTTAGGTACACACAGTTCCATTTAGAGTCCACAATGGGCGTCCGTCATTGTGTGTACTTCATTCAGGGTGTGGTGATAAATACTTTGTAGTTCTAACGATAGCATTAAATTCATAAAGTTGCTCGCCTTGTCACTTCCGATAATGTGCCCGTTATCCGTTATCGAAACTACACAGCATTCTGTACAACGATATACCTATTTCCTAGCTTACATATCACCCGAAGCTGTTGATGACCATACCAATGCTTTGCGAGAAAGGCAGGCAAGCACTGGAGCACTCGAAGTTTTTGCAAGACTCAAACGGAAATGCTCGCTACTACCTAGTTATGGAAACAGCATCTGGTTACCTTAACACTACAAACCTCCAGTTCAACTGCTTTTTTCCTTGCTTCATCCTGAATGTAGCGGTGTGTGCACTCTGAGTTAGACTATCCCTATCGTCATCAACTTCTAGGTACAGACTTCAATCAACAAATTTTGCTCTATTTCAGCATAAATTTCAAATTTTTGGAACGCAGATGTCATTTTGAATGACATTCCAGACTTTAACAAAGGACTCCCGGATTCTGCGTTTTCCTACTGTTGTTTCGATCAACGGTTAGGGAGGTTAACCTGCCTGTTTAACAATGAGTAATCACCGAAGTTTGATGCAATCATTATGTCTGAAATCATTCATTCCTAGTTTGTTCCTATTGTCATGTGATTTTCCGGCAATCAATCCAGATGGCGTATTTTGTTTTGGTTTGCAAACAAAGGAGCCCCTCAAGGCAATATCTTGGACGCATTCCAGTGTCATGTGCAACACCTGAACAACTCAACAAGCGTACCTGTGTGGTGACTACAAGTGACAGTGACCACCATATGAATTTCCGAAAAATCAGAACACCTAGGTGGCACACTCAAGTGGGGCGAAAGAGATAAACCTCCACAGTAACATCTGAGGGATTTGAACAGATTGCTACGGAGCATTTGGGGTAGGGTCACCATATCCGTTGACAGCAGTACCAAATAGAAGAGTAATACCTCATGTTTTGTAACGTCGACTAAGACGAAAGTATCTAATCTCTAAATATCCTCGATTCTACCGCTGGTCGAATAAGCTATTGAAATCCAATGTGTCACGGAACCCAGTTCCTTGACACGCTTGATAACAACGCTTGCTACAGCTTGCACCGATAGAGGTGCGCGCCCTCTAACCATCAAACCACTTTGTCTTCACAGAAACCAAGAACAATATAATAATGAAAAAATGCTATTCGTGAATGCCGTACTTGCTTTGCACAAATGAAAGAACTGAGATCTATTCGCCAAATTTACTAGCAGCTCTCAACCAGGTGGCCCGTACTTTTTCCTTGCAGCATTGAGTCCTTCAGAAGTCATATTACTATTTACTCCAAATGATTGTCACCATGTGCTTACCATCAACGCCACGCAATATAGTCACGTCCGGTAATAACGTAAGAAAACGAAATTTATTCAACTGCGTTGTCAACTGCCATGTCAGTTAATCCACAGAATATTGTTATGAACCTAACTCTCATAGCTGAATACCTTATCTGTTTTTGCTTATAGTTCAACCACTAGACCCTAAGTACACCTAATTCATATCTGCAGTATCAAACGTTGCCATTTGAAGATTTTATACTTTCATACTTCCTGGCTGTCGCCCTCGGTAAGCCGACCGTATGCATTAATTCCCACATCACGTCAGCCCGAAACTCAATGCGGCGTTAGGTGAGACATCTCAAAATATCGTTTTGAACTGGCTTCAAAACTTTCGCACGCCTCAAGGTCCGCGATTTACAGTTGTGCCGTAAAGCTCACTAGGCGAAGTCATCAAAGGAATCCGACGATCAGATGCAGTTCTTACTTCTTATAGGACCGTGCTCCCCTCTTCCAGATTGAGTGACGCTTTTTAGGAGAGCCACACTGGGGAGAACTTTTCCCACCAGAGGTCGATTCCCTCCGGCATCACTTCTCCGCCTCTGAATACATCTAAGCGAGAACAAGCAGTACCACGAATCGGTCGACCAGAAAATAACATATCCAACTAGTGCCTACCGTGGAGCATTGTGCCATTCACAAATCATCATCATCATTGTCAGCTGTAATAACCGCGTACTCGTCGTACAGTGGTTGTAGCTGCCGCAGCTTTGTTCACCGATGACTTGTGAGGGGGGGGGCTAGGTAGCTGCTCATTGGGGGTGGGAGCTGATAAATTGGTGCGTAAATCCAGCATTGTCAGTGGGCTCTCAAGTGAGGGGGGGTTGGAAAAAGAGCTATGCATTGAAGGCAATATCTTTGATGCACGAGCGCCATTCAAGCGCGAATGGGCCATGTCATGAATGAACTAAAACAATCTTGGTGTTCACTTTTCCAAGTAGACAGCAAAACCAAGGTCTGTGGCCGGTTACTCCGAGCAATAAAACTTAAATAAGGCGACATCCATACCTGACATGGGCTGTCTAAGCACGTTAGAGGCCGCCGGTGAATATCAGTCAGAATAACATCTTTCACTTTAAGAGCGAAGCTTGGTAAAGTCTTAGTGAACTTTGAAATCATGTCATTCGGTTACACACCCTCAATTTTAACACCGGGTTCACCTGATGCTGTCTAATCAGCCACAGCAGCCGCGTTCACCAAACAGACACTAGACGTCAACCAGCAAATTAATTGTAGAATAATAGGCAACAAATTTTGTTTGGTGATCTTCGCAATATGCGGTAAATATTAGTGAGGTGGTCCTTAAAAAGTTTAGTGCGTTGTACACTTTTAGCGATCCACGAGTTTGGTTTCAAGACAGAAAAAAATTAGCAGTGTAGCTAAGGTAGACCGAACTGATGGAAAATGCAACATTGTAACAGTAAACAATACCGCTCAACCGAAAATAGCTAATACATAGCCGTTGAATCGGGTTTTCTGAAACTCTGAAATAAAAAAAATAATGGAGCAAGCACCCTCTTAGTTGGTTTTGCGGGCCAGTCATCATTTAGAAGATGATTTCAGTCGGTCTGTTGGGGAATTGATGCGTGTACCATTAGTGAATGGTCATCATCCATGACTGAAAAATACCGGCCGCCAAGAAGTTGTTGAATATCACGACAATCTTTTAAATCTTCAGCAACCTTTTCGGATGACGTCCGATTTTTTTCACTTTTCAACTAAAAGACCCGATGTTGAAACCATTGTTTTTCCTAAAATAGCAAAGCCGGTGGCTCCATCTTCAGTACGCTTGACAGGGCAGAAAAGGTTAACCAAATCAGTGACATTTCGGCCGACTGAGGAATGTCTTACATTCCTGTGAATTTGCCCCTTACCCAGGATTCATCTCATCAGTTTGTCCGCGGTTAGCAGTGATTACGTCAGCTCCTTTTCGGTTGGACTAGGAAACTGTGCACAAAAGCTAATTGTCATTCTTCTCTTCACCATCAACTGTGTTAGGTTTGTCCATGCTTGTGAAACCAGGTCGCTTTCTCCAGGATAATTTTATCCAATGACAACACTCGCATAATAACTGCAATCGGCAAATGTCACAGAATTAACACTCAAAGCGCTTAACAATTTAAGGATTCTCGCGAGATGAAATGTGCTCCAACCATACTGAGCTGGTTTTATTTACGGCGAGTTTTGGTTACGTCCTTTTTTATTTCCTAACGTTATATATGTACGACGTTAGTCCTACTGATGAATTCTTTTAAAGTATTAGTAGTAAAAATCTCGTGGGTATGCACTGGTTAGGTGATTTTAAATAGAAAAATTTATTCAAGATACTCCAGCTATGGACTACTGCGAAGTGAGAACCCCATTCTCTCATGTCGTTTAAATAAACTGGATGGCTGCCAGCTCTGATACTGTATTTACGAACATTGCACGCTGTCTCTATGGTAAAGCTCCGTTGGAACGATCGACGACCGTAAGTAATGGCACAGAAAATGCAAGAGACTTCAGCTGGCGAGGAAGATGAAACGGGGCGTACGGATTATTAGGCTTATTGCCCAGAAGGTACAACGGATAATAAAACTGTCAAAAGCAGACCGATGGTCAGCACCTAAATCCTATAGTGAATAAATAGAGAGATATTCTGTTGTTTAAAACAGCACCGACGAACTACCTAAAAAGTTTACTTGAGACAGGATGTAACTTTCTGTTCATGCTACAATCGGAAGGGCGCGTTTTCTCTCTGTTAATATTTGCTTGATGAACCGGCGATTCTTGATGAAAACGATTCATTGGCACCTACTTTGGATCCGACAACCTGTTCCACTTAAGCCATAAAGAAAAATGCCACGGATGAAGAGTATATGTAGATAAATGTGTGTGCTAGAATTGGATGATTAGCGCTTTTTCCAACGCTTTCTTAAGTAAACCATGGAGATTCGCAGTCATTAAGTGTGGAGGATATCATCCGTGGGTACTGTGAGCTGACGGAGTAGGGAAGACGAGCCTGGTAGAACTAAGCTTTCTGAATATAATATAGTTGCTTCATACTGATTCCAATTATCTCTCCTGAAATTGATTTACAAGAGGAAGAAAGAGATGTAGCTATAAATAATGAAATTTACTTCCGCGATGTTTCGTAATTTACCCGATGACAATGCTCTGGAATGAAATGAAGCTTTGAGTGAGTACGATGGTTCTTTTGTCACCTACTTAACTTGTGTTGTCTTGTATGCTGTTATCAATACACTGCCATTTCCTGTCGGGAGATCTTCGTTTGTTAAAATGCCTTCTAATGGAAGTGGACTCGACCAAATCACTGGGTCCTGATACTATAAAGTATTTTGCCCTGCACTATGAAGCCCCTTTTTGTGGATACCATGGTTCAAAACCTGTGCGTTCGTTGACAAGGACTCGATCTTGCTTTTTTACTCATTTTCCTAGTTGGACTGATGCGGAATGGCAATTATCCTAAAGAACACCTGCGCTGACAGCTGCATGGTTTATTCTTTCACAAGCACTTTGGAGGCAATTTACGACATTAGCTACGCTTGAGGAAAACAAAAATCAGTAAAGTTTTTCCGCTCGCAGTTTTCTATCTACAGATTGGTTTCATTCTTCAGCTGAGCGGCTTGTGACAAACCTCTGTAATTTAGTTAGTTGGCAGACATACTGCACTACGTAAGACCCTTATTAACCAGAAACCCAACTGGATCAGTGTGAGTCTTCAGTCAAAACCAAACAGGCGTGCAACTGGGAGTGTTTGACGTGTACTCCTTAATACTTTTAAAGACACCCCGAGTTTGATCGTTCCCTTGTTGACAAAGTTTTTATAATAGTACCCTAAGTAGAGTGCGTAAAGTGAGATCCCTCATCCTGCTGTTTGCCAAGGTTGCGCAACGACACAGGAGATCCATATTAATTTAAGTTACGTATATTTACGAGATCCAGTACTTAACATACTGCCGACATCAACTGTTCACGAACAATTCACTGTGAAAAGTCCCCATGATTCTCCCTCTTGTTCGGACAGGTCTTACGCGAATCTTTTGTCGGCAAGCGTTCGTGCACCTGCATGATTGCCACCGTCTCTCCCGGTCTGTCCTGCTGTGAGCACAGCATGAACACGCTGCGCTATGCACAACGTGTCAAACATCTTGTCCCGTCCTCTTTTGTGCCAAAGGTTTCCTATTATGTATCCCATCTGACCACAGATGCCGACTGGTTCCAACCACGCAGCCGAGCTACATCAGCACTATCACGTAAGGGTTCCCGCGCTGCCGGAGATGGGAAACAGCAGTCTTGTCGACAAGTGAGTAATGACAGGGATGAGGTATAATTTGTTCACTTTGTCTTGACCCTTACCCGCGTCTCAGTTTTTTCCTGACAGTGAATATCAAATACCGTATCAATAGCAGACCATGAGTGGACGAATATAATTGCTTTACTGCAAGCATTGGGTGGCGGGTATCTGGCAGCCGCTTTTCAAGATATCCTAACGTTTCTCTTGCGGTTTTATCTTAGGTGCTCTAGATTTGCACATATATGCAGTATAGAGCAGTGAGACATTAAAACCTCCAGCGTGGCTAAGGGTACCCTGAACACATTCCAAGATCTCCGTGAACTTATATTAGGAACAGTTACTGATGCTCGTCCGATCCAGACCTTAGGCAGCAAACATGATTTTGTGAGTTCATCTACTTACGGTATTCACAGGTGGCTGCGACTTTTAAATTGTGGAGGTCATCAAGGGCAACCTGATTTCTTGACGAGCGATAACTACGGAATGAGGATATCAACGCTAACACACTCGTAGGAAGTACAGTATAAAACAGAACTGTGCGGGTCACGTAGACCAGAAGATGAACTGCTTAAAATCACTGTTCGTCAACAAGACTTTTATGACTGTGGAAACCTTAAGTTTATCTATCTTCGTGGTTGACTGCGAGCATCACGTTCAACGTCATAGCGTAAAAAACAACGACCGTGCCCACGTAAAGGCAGCTGGATTTCGCCACTGAAGCAAGGCTGCTGAACACGTCCTCGTATTATTTGGACGCGGTTAGATTTCAGTAAGAGGGTGGAAAGCAATGAGGTCCCGTAAAATGTTGGAGTTCATGTATTAGAACTCAAAAGCATCCACACTTATTCGCGCATTCTTGAGGCAACCGAAAGAGAAGTGCGACGAAAACCGGAATGATACGCAATATGAAAGAACTTCAGCTGAGGTTTCTGTTTCAGTAGGATAAACAGCAAGACAACAAGTGAAGACAAAGGTTGATCAATTCACCTAAATTGATGAAAGCTTTCAACTGGGTTGAGGAAACCGACATTATGGACTGGAATAAAAAAAAACAGGACAGCTTCAGAGCCCGAATTAAGTGTTACTGAGTGTGTTGTTCAGTATAACTTAGGATAATCCACATTGACTCTCAGAGTTCCACATTTCAGCTGATTTTTGTCGGTTGCAAACGTGAAGCACTCTGTTTATGCACAAATGGCTTGCCAACAAAGAGTCCGAAATCAAATGTGCGATTTGCCTCAGGGTGACGCTCGGTAACCGATGATTTCCAGGTCAGTTTGGCTGCACGTGGTGTCGGACTGTCAAAGAAAAGGCGAGTAGCAATTCTTTTGATGTGGGTGACTGCCGATGTTGAATTCTGAGGTTAACGAGTTTGCCTGACCATTCTTTCCCGTTTGAATACAGAGCCGTGGGTTTTCCAACTTTGTGTTGTGACTGTGTCGGTCCTTGGCCTCCCGCCGCGCCCACTACGGTATATCAAAAGGCACAGCAGCTTAAACAGCCCTTTATGACAACAAAGGAAAATTATTACAACCCGTATCTGTAGGATCATCACAGAACGTTCAACGAGGTCGTGCTAGAATTTTCTTGAGTGGGCCGAGAAGCGCGCATCAAAGATGCCCCATCCAGATTGGCTGACATCCTGACCAATCAATGCATGTCTTTGTTTTGTCCGTAGCCCACACATGACGCATCCGTCCGATGCACGTGATTTTTGGTTATTAACGGACAACTGGTCGCCAGGCCAACTACCTCAGCAGTCCACATTACTCTGCATGGTTGACCTGAAGAGACCAACTAGGTGGTATATAGTTTGTTCCTCTTCCATGGGGTGATCCATCTCGGTTAAGTGTAAAGTGCACACAATCCGATTTTGCTGGGCTGTGGAATAAACCACGTAGTGAAGATTAACCATTTCAAAAGAAAATAAATTGTCTTCCTTGCTATGTCCTGGACGCCTCCAATCAGTCGCTGGCTAAATAATATCAATGGTTTAAGTCCACAAGACACCCAATAGGTTCTTTGTTTGGATTATCTGTGCGGACTACCTTCATTGTGTGAAGTTAGTGTAGTAGTGGCAAATGAGCCTTGTGAAAAGTTCAGGTACAGGATAGTAAATGAAAGACAGGGGACTGGAAACACTTTTTTCTTCATACTTGTTTGCTGGGGCTCGCTGCTGGCTACGTTTCATGTTTTTTTCTGTTCTTGTGATCCTGAGCTCTTTAGCCTTAAATGGAGAGTCTTGGTGCTTCTTCTGGTTTGGCTACACAGATGTACAATTTTTTCGGGCATATTCCAATATAAAAGCAATATGGCCTAAAATACTCGTGCTTTCAAAAGTTACTATCATTACAGGTGAACGGGAAGTGAAATGAATTCACACGGTACCTTCGCCAGGTTTGATGTTTCCTCTACTTATGTTTATTTCCTACAACAATACGTGCTATCTGAGTTATCTCACGTTACAGGAGTAACTAGTTCCACTTAGTCACAATGGTAAATAGACAGCTACAAAGCAGTTCAGACTGAGCTGTCTATCAGTTTGGCGGACTGTGGCAGACGGTAACATCATAAAACCTTCGGATTTGCCTTGCTACCTGAGACATCATTTCCACTCTGTCACACCCTAAACCCTAAAAGCCTGCTGATGAGTTTGAATAAGAGCAAATGCTCTTTAATGGCTATGCCTTTCGGGATTCGAACCATAAAGAGGTAATAACGAATGTCTCGGCAATTTTCAGAAAACCTGAGTGCGGGCGATAGTTTGGATGGATGCCTGGGTATCACATGGTTAACAAATCAAATTAAAATAGCTTCCCATCAACAATCTACTTGGCGAAAATTAAGTCCACACTCTACACCACAAGGCGCTTGACCTGTTGAATTAGATTTAAGCCAAGTTTGGCCATTCCACAGATCTACTTCCATACGCTGTGTGATAATCTTTCGTTTATTTTGTTACTACTCCTCTATACAGTCGAACAGTGCGAAGCCAGCAAAGTCACAGTCCAACAAGCCGAAAACACCATCACTTTCTGTCGATGAACCGCCCGAGGATAGGCAAACACCGTCTTACAGGACTACGAGAAGTTCATTCAAACACAGCGTTCGCCACACACCGAGACCGGGAACAACACCAAACTCCTCTTCTTCACTGGGCAGTTCTACAGACAGTCAAGCATTATCGGATATGCCGGTGACTGATTTTGAAACAGTCGATCGCTTGACCTCTTCGGCCGACACGAGAGAGGTGAGGGACTTGTGGCATAAACCCTGCTGTACTAGAGTAAGTATCAGTTATGTTTTCTTTTTCAGATATGTTAGACTGTATATTCTATTTATTGTGACACCGTGCAGGTTGTAATTGAAGTCACGTGGTGAGTCACACTGGAACTGATAAATCAGCGCGCACAAATCTTGCAACTGATATCAGGTAGATGGCGCAATAAGCTAGAAGTCTACACCCGTGGAAACGCAAATCATCACTTATCATTGTGTGTAGCTTTTACTGAGGCTCTGGAAATCTCTGATTTCCATGCGGTCTAGTTACCAAACTGTTGTCCTTCTGTGGACTGAAAACTCTGAACAGCTGACTCAGAGCTGCCTCCTGTGAGGAATAGCGTCTGCTTAAATACAGCGAGAAGGGGAGAACTAAAATGTATCTGATCCCTAAAACCAAAGCTACTGACGTTCTTCAAGCTTTTTTTGGAAACAACTGGTCACGGTTCGCTGCTCGAGCGTCGAAATAGGTGAACAGTGAAGTAAGATAACTAACCATGGTGCAAGTAGACTAGTGAGCATTAGCTAGACAACATGAGGTTAGTGTAAACGGTTTTCACCCACCTCATCCTCAGATTGGTCAGATTTATAAACGCAAAAAAAACTTTCTTCCGTCCAAAGTCGAGGGATATCAGATGTCGGCTAGATTAGAATGATATCAGAAGGACTGCATCCATCGGTAAGGTTTGTTAACATGTCACTCCAAAGCGAAATGGCTCAGTGGTTGGAGCGCGAATTTACGCACCTCGGCCTCTGGGCTTCTCCTTTCTAGGCTTGGGCAAGCTAACAGTATCCCCAACCTCGTGCTTCCTTCGGGTGGCACCGCAACTAGGCACCAAAAGGGTGCTACAACGGAACGATTATTTTCACCCCAAAGCTTCAATTCAGTAGGTCAAAATAAAGAAATCGGTTCAAAAACGAATATTTTACCTGAGTTGTGGAGGATTGGTTTTTCAGCACCCAACAGATCTCCGGTCTATTTTGAGGGGAGGCCGATATTAACAGATGGTATGCGAAACAAACTGAGTGAATCTCTCTTGATGATTCTAAGCTCCTGTGCTGAATTGAGGAAATCAGCGAAACATGGTGTATAATGAAAGTGTGTTCCTTCCGAAGAGTGATACCTACCGAGGATGGCAGTGATATTTTGAGCACCATCTGATCTCAACTTACCGGGCCGAATGTTTTCCACTTTTTACAACAACATATCAATCAGTGGCGCATCGCATAGCCATCCACCTTGTACCAGAGCGGCACTTATGGGTTGGCATAAAGTGAACTGATTTATCTTCTCTTGCTAGCAATCAGTGTTCTACCTTGGATTACGGTTAATATCTGATGCCACAGCTCTGACCATGCTATATAACTTGGGCGGAACTCGTTCTTCATCGTCCTTTTTTCGGAAAAAAGAATGTTTGTGGTCTAGCCCGCTTGAAATTAGAATATATAGCATCCCGTTTACCGACTGACTCTCTTTTTCTTGTTTGTTTCGGACCTTTAACATTGTGCGGTACGAATGGCAAGGTTCCAGTGTGCGCAACAAGCTCCATGTGAAATATAATCCATCTCCTTTCGAATACTTGTGGATGACAGCCTACGTGCACGCTCTAGTAGATGGTTTGTAATATGGTCTGTGCTCATTTAGATATGACATGTGATATCAGTGCTGTGTTGAGAGTCATTCTGCGGAAAAAATCATTTCAAAAGTTGATGACTAGATGGTACTACTACTTCCCATGGTATGTGGACTGAAGTTTTCTGTCTGGTGCTAACTTTAACGTAGCAACTAGTACAAGTAAATTTGTGTAAAGAAGCGTTTTCATGAAAACGCACCATTAACCATATTTATGCGCATTTGTACGAAACAGAAGGGTACAGCCTTCACAAAAAGTCACAAGTGGCCTATCTAAGCTCAGCACACACCGGTTCGCCAAGTTTCTGTAGAAAACACAAACATACAAACCGCAGTTCTTAAATTTTTTCGTGTACACATTCACTTCTTTCAAAACACCTTCAAGTACATAATGATATGTAAACGTCAAATTTGTAAACAACTTCAAGGCAGTTCACTACTACAATCTTCTCTGAGTTTACAAAACCATAGATGGGACTAAAATGTATGCTCTTCGGTCAATATTTATTGTACCGACCTGTACAAGGAGTTTAGCAACTGACGTCACAGCGCAAGATTTTTTAATTTTTTAAGGATATCATGCTAACAGCATCCATCATTATGTGCATGAAACAAGACTATGAAACTCATGTGGCTGCCAGCGGGGAGCAAACAGTGTCCAACAGTCTGACCGGACAAACAGAATTTGCTGGCTTTCACCCGCCTTACCGTATTAAGTACTTTAGCGTGGTTATCGCTAATAGTTAAACTAAATTGCACAATATCTTGCCAGGATTCATTGCAGGGATGCTTCACAAGTAGCGAGGGGCACTAGAACGCCTTCTACATGTGATATGCTACAAGGTGTCTCTGCCGTACGCACTTAGGATACTTTCAATCGTGAGCCATTGATCAAGCGTCAGGATTAGAAATGCTATCTCTGCACACTTATTTGTCATATGCTATCGATTTCAGAGGCGGATTAGTGAAACCTAAGAGTAGTAACAACCACCCGACGCAGATTTCCATGTATGTAGTTTTATGTCACAGGTAACGGTTGGAAAAGTTGTTAACCTTCTATTACTTTCAACGGAACGTATGTTCTTCTTGTGACAGTAGGATATACCTCTGAACCACCAGATTCAATCTACCGAAATGGTTTTTCATGTTCTAAAACTAGTTTCTGTAACATACAAAAAATCCTTCCAAATGATTTTGAACTGTTCTTGTAACGCCGGTAAGTGATAAAGTTTTGACGAATACAAGTCACCAAATCTTGAAACTTCAAACTGACCACTTCTGTGTTGAATTCCACATTTCAATAAAGAATACTGTCACCTCAGCGTCTATTCACGTACAGAAATAACAGACCCGCATCTATGCGCTAGTTAACGGTGATTCCACAATAAAAATAAGGCACTGATAAACGGGTGCGTTGGTGGTTTACTTCTCTTACAAATAGAACAATCCAGTGTAAGGTGCCTGCACCTCAAACAACATTAAGGTATATCCAGCTGCGCGGTGTTTTCTGACGAGGCGTTGTCACCAGTCCAAGTTCTCATCCCCTTGTGAAATTTTAGTCCAAAAATGCCTAGCAAATGATGTCATACTTGGCCCTGACGGTCCTGCTACTTGATGACAGTATTTTCCACCACAGGAACGGCTTTGTCTCGTGACCAATTGTGGGGTTTTGAAGTCATGTATGGGAAAGCCCATATCGACACTAGCCACTGTAACTCACAATTCAAGTAAAAGCTTGTGACTAATCTTTTCTGCTTTTCGTGAGAACTTTTCTATCACACGCGCCCCTGGATGGGTTTTTGATCACCCCAAAATGTCGTTAAGAAATAACTGTACTGTCACTAAAGGGATGCTAAACAAGCTTAAAAGGAAAATTTATATTAAACACGAGTTTGTTAGGTCAATCAACGCAAACGTAAACACAGTCATTACTGAATTAACTTTGCACTTCTCTTTCTGGAAGGATGAGTGGGCTCTGGGAGAAGACATCAGGAAACTCACTTACCATTTGACAACCGGTGAAGGCGTTCTATCCTTGGGGATCAATTTTTGAAAGCACCCCTCCACAACCGTGAATTCTCGCCTGAGGATATAAGAAAAGGTTCCCATTGTAACTGTTATCATGCGGGACCTGAAAATGCTCAGGATATTTTGGTTCTGCCACATCTTAACTTAGCAGCGAAGATGGAAAAAAACTCTATCGGTTAGCGAAAAAGTTGGTTAGTCAATACAGGTATAGGCTCATTTGTCTTTGAAAGAAAGCTGCCGAGCGCGTTGTGTCAACTGAAATACATAGTCAACTAACCTGTCCCCAAGAAAACGATGTGTAGAGAGAGGAAAGTGCTTGAACCGGTAAAGGTACATTTGAAACTTCGCATATTCCAAAGTGGCCTAACGAAAACCGTTTAAATAGGGCAACGTTCTAGATGTGCCGTCATCGGTAAGTTGAAGCCATTTCGTTTTCTCAGCTTATTAGTTTAGTTGCATCCAGTCCACTTACAAGCAATGAAACAAGAAGTGTTTTTCAGTGGCTGTTGAAAAAAATATTTAAGGGAAAAGTTCGATAAATTTGCGTTTTAAAGCCAGATATGCTCCATCAGAACCGCCTTCTATTAAGAGTGTTACGAAATTAAACGAGATAACATATATATCTACCTATACAACGCGCACAGTATATGCCTCAGGAACACTGAATCAAGCGAGTCTTTCAAGTCCTTTTTGAAGCCTCAGCTATTCGGCCTCGTAGTATACACCTAATTACTGAGTCTTACGAAAGACCATATATTGCGACAACATTGTGCAAGATATTGTGAATATCATGGGTGATAATTCAGTCCTACGAACACATTGCACTTTGTGCTTCAAAACTTGTATCGGAGGCATTATATATCCCCGCTCGTTAACTGGGGATGATGCAAGCACCCAACGTGACGACACATACGACCAATCAAGAATGCCAGGACGAAATCTGCACAAATATCCCAAATCTCCTCACACTACCAACAACATATAAGTAGCTCAGTGGAAGAGTAAACTTCACCCGATTATTCAAACTTCTATCCGAGAAGTTGTTCCTTGTGGAGCCGGTAAAAATGTGTGACCGCGTAATGTGGATCCCGCGATTGAACGATGAGTGGCGCTATTTACTGTCTAAGTGCGAGTTAATCACACTGCTGATCAGCCACTCGTGGCCGAACGGTTAACTGTTCAAACTACTAGCCGGGAGGTCGCGGGTTCGAGACTCTTCGGGGTTCTTCATGAGATGTGGACTGCTGATGGTTCCTAATAAGGATGAAACAGCTGTACAGTGCTTCTCGGCTTTTCAGCATAGATTGGATTCACTTACAGGACGAAATCTCCACAATAATCCTAGATCTCCCCACACTACCAACAATGCCATCACATATCTTATCATCAGTCCAATTTAGATCATTTGGTTTTTCGATCAATTTCTTGCACGTAAGATTATCTTTTATAAGGTGAAAAACACTTCTTCATGTTTCATCTGTTATAGCAGTAATTTTCTCCAGGCTGTCTGACAAGTGTTTCAGTGTCCCTTGAAGCAAATATAAAACTGATGTGATATTTAGTCCGCGTTTCCAGAGTGGGTGTGAAATATAGTGGGTTTCACTCCATAAACTAAACAGCCCTTGAGATACCCCAGTTTCACATCGTTTTCCAGTAACGTTTACGGTATGTAAGTTACCTATTACGTCACTGCATGAAATGCCAGAACCTCGTAACACGGACGACACCATACTGCCATTCCCAGATAATTTTGATAAAAAACGGCAGGCATATTCTCAATCCCATTTTTACGTGAATAATAGGGATCAAGAGCAAAATTTACAGTGATAATCCTGGTGTACATTGCACTGCGTGGACAACTGAAAACGACCTGACTACACATCGAGTATATTAAAAGATGGAAAGTGGAATAACTTGGCACAGGAACTCCTTCTTGCAGCGAAAACTTTTGGAGAGAAAGCTTCACCGCGGACTGTCCCTTTGACTCCAATTCTTCAAGATTGACCTTACGGCTTTCGCAGACCAATACACCTCCCAGTGTTTAGCTGGCCTGTTCATACAATGGGTTTCTGTTGATACCCAACGCTATGATTGATGAGAAAATCACTAGCTGACCTAGGTTCACCTGGTGCCGTAACCCCAGTATCGAGGGACAGCGGGGTCCACTCTGAATGGTGGGGCGCCTATGCTAACATATACCGATTTCAACGAAATAAATCATAAAAAGCTTGATTTTGCGCAATTTGTCTTTCCCAATAGGCAACTGTAGCGATCATGAGGTTGAATAACAAATGGCGTTAATCTCACAGTTTTGTGTTCGCAATGCGATTACTACAACCAATCTCTCAAATATCATGTATTGGATATCCAAACAAGTCAAGCAGTTAGGACTGATAAAAACTGTTACGGTTCTCATAACAGTCAACACTGTAAATGGAATGGCCACCTCGATCAGACCTTTGTTCTGGAAACGGCAATTAGCACTATTCATATTTATTTACTTTTGGCACATTAAGGCCGTGAAGATATTGAAGGAACACATGGAGCGCATTGAAACAACACATTGACGGCGCACTGACAATTAAAACTGGGTCAGGGTTCTTCGGATGCCACCGGATATACAGAGCTGCAGGCATTAAACAATCATTTAAAACAGCACACTCAGTTGTCTGGAAACATCACAAACGAGAGATTAAGCTGGGTTCCAAGCGCGTCTCTCCAGCGGTAGTCAGGTACATGATGATATGTACAAGATTCTCAAATTCTGAGCAAACCTTGCACGTGACGTATTGTTATGTGCCCACATGGAAAGGCCCAAAATCGAACTACCCTTCACGACTAACTTTTCCAAAGTCCTAACTCATTTTTCTTGACCGAAGCCGAACCCAGTATGAGTAAATGAAAATTCTGGCAGGAGTGTGAAGCTCGAAACTTTCAGGTCTACAAGAATTTTTTTGGAAATGAGATAGTGTGTCGCCATATTCAAATGACGCTGCAGCCGTAAGGAAACGAAACGTTACCCACTTGCAAATTGCATAATTCGGAGAGCTCTGGAAAACTGTTATCTCATTCCGTTCCAATTTTCTTGTTCTTTTATGCCAGAGTAGATAACGTATTTACCATTTTAGGTCATTCATGACGTCTTGTCGAGTCTCTTATCGATTTCTGAGAGATCGTGGCACGGACGTCAACAATCAACACTGGTCGGAAGATTCATTTTGTGGTATTCAGTGACGACATATAACTCATTTCTTTACAAAAATCTGATTTGGTTGGAGAACAAAACATCAAAAGGGCGACAATTACCTTTGAATAAAGTGATAACCTGCGTCAGCACTGAAATATATAACTCAGTTATCATCTCCGATAATCGTTTGTTGTTAATGTGTGTAGTCGGAAATAGGAAACGGAACTGTGATTTACAGAATGCTTGCCTTGTTCTGTTATATTTAACAAAACGCGGTTAGACAACCTATTCGGTGAGAGATGTACACGTAAGGTAAGTTATTCAGCGAACAGAGGACCTGTTTTTCTCCTGACTCAAGTTAAAATGACATGATCGTTTACTTTTACAAACGTACATCTTGTGCCACATAGGTACACTGTCGCCCTAGTACTACATCGTCAAGTATCCAAGCCGTTTTTTCACCCCACAATGGTTACTCCCTGGTTTGGTTAAGAATGTCTGTTGTTCATTAGCTGCCTTTCTTTTAGCTGTTCCACGTTCTCCTCTGTAGAGTGCAACATCCACACCGAAGTGCAGTACGAATGTGTCAGCTAGACGGCATCGTTTCTTACGACTTCAAAAACAAAAACACGATGTCATCAAAAAGCACGAAGAACTGATAAAGGTAGGTGGCGTTTGGTGTTGAAAGGTGCGGGTTTGTCCATTCTACGTGTGCAGACATACACTGAACTTACAAGAATTGCACAGGCACGCGTAAATGTCATCCAATCAGGCAGTCGCATAACAGAAAAGCCCAGACGTTTTGAAATACCTATTAACCTAAAATCTATTCAAGTTTAGTTTTCATTCAATGGATGATCTACAGGATTTCTGATGGGCTTAGTAATCAATGAGTGACAAAAGCGTATTTAGTTGAAAGATTCTAATCCTGGTAATAATGTACCACTTTAAGGAATCTTGTACACTCCTTTTGCGTAAGATCAACAGCACTGATCACATGTATTCACACAAGAAACAGTGGGTATACATTGTGTGGTCTACCTACAGGTTACTCTGACTGCTTCGTGCGATCGGATGGCTAGTGTTCTGACACAGTTACATTTTACTTCTGTCCATCCAAGGTAATGGAATTCTAACGTTCACTCCAGTGACACACACTGTTGTGTTTTAGCAGGAAGTAAATTTCGTGAGGAAGCCTTCGTTAATCGGCGAAAATTCTTTGTGCTTCCTCTACCCAGTTGTCTTACACAATTAGAGTAGGATTCCATCACTGAGGTGTACGTCACAATCGCTGATTCTGTTATGGGCTTTTGAATGTAAACTGAAAAGACACCAGTGGATGCTGTTTGCTGGGGTTCTCCTCCCTCATATTGAGATGTATGCAGTTTTTCTTAACGTCTTGTGCTGCGCTGGTCCATTTAAGCATTTCGGTCCTAAGAGAGTTTGATGATTTTAAGCAAATCTCACTGAAGCGCTTGTTCTAGTATTCTGTACCATTCGGAGTAAGGATTCTCGTGACCCTTAAATGTTCAAGGTTTATATTGATGTTGAGTTCTTCCAGGACTGATTTTTAAGGGCTGTGGGTGACGTGGATCATCGGGAGGCTTATACCACAATAGATGGTGTCAGAATGACTAATCGAAAACACAGGATAAAATGTACAAAATAGTATGAGAAAGCAATCAAACGAAATAACGGAGAACGCTTGGGTCCGTCTTTCACCGTACCCCTTAACCAACCGATTTCGAGAAGGGATTCAGTACCAGCCGAACGACTTGTCACGTGACATAGTGGTACAGGGACGGTATCAACCCGACCAAGGGAATGAGAATAAATCAAAATCATGCAGGAAATCAGCGGCTACCGTTAGGAAAACTATACAGATGCAACGCAGAATGTACTATCGAATTAAGGTGTTAATTCCCATGGGGTAAAACGTTGAGAGCACAGAATCTGAGCTGAGCGGTTCCGCTAATCGACATTTAGAATGACTTCGACGTTTCCAGAAATGTCCATTTATACGAGGCCATTCTAAATTTACTTAAACTCGTCACCAGGTCACATCCAGCAGGTCCTACAGGTTTTCCCGACGACGAGATATATAATGAGTATACTGCCTTTAAGAATGTAATACAGCCTGCAGGGTTGTCACATGCCGGCTCACCGGTGAGTTGTTCAGGCGTTCGCTGAGTATGACAGTTTCATCATAATCTAGGGGCATCATCAATAAGTAAGAAATCAATTAAGTTAGTGAGTAAGCAAGTAAGTGGATAAGTAAGTAGATAAGTAAGTAAGTAAGTAAGTAAGTAAGTAAGCAAGTAAGTAAGTAGGCAAGTAAGTAAGTAAGTAAGTAAGTAAGTAAAGTAAAGTAAGTGAGTACATCGTCTTACCCGCTCAAGTCTGTATTGTCTTCAGAGAACCCTTGATATCTACTGCTGTGGTTGTCTTACTGGAACACACTTCGAAACCTGTTGGTCCATTTCTGTTGCATTTTGGTCTGTAATTTGAACACCTGTTTGATGCATTGGGTAGCTTCTGCTCGAGGAATTTCGCTCCTCTTTCGATTGGGACAAGATAAACGCACACAATCGAGCACCTGTTATTTCCCATCGGTTGGTGACGAAACGTTTTCAAGCTAATTGCCAAACTGAGGAGAAAGTTCAACGACCACGTGACCAACTACCAATAAACACCCAAACCACCATTTTTCCGGGACTGGATGGTCTGAAGGATAGGAATATCACATGGATGAAGACAGTTATTATTCGATGGTCTTCGATACACTCGAGGGAACTGATTCGGTTTGCTTTGTAGAGAAAGCTTCCCTTCCACTCCGACTTAGGTAGGGGTGAGGCCATTATGCCTACTGATAAACAATTATCAACTTAATGAAATACATTTAATCTTTTGATGAGTCTCTAGAGTAACTTTCGTTATCAGACGGGTTTTTCAAGGAAATGATATTGAAAACTGTAAAAAATTCGTCAGTCTATTGTCTCGTTTTCTTCATCCACATTTGCAAACAGAGGTGGGTGTTTGTCGTAGCTGATAACTGATTACGGCCCGTTCTGTTTTCAGACATTGCCAAAGTGGATAGCAGAGCATCGACGATTGCTGGAACGAGCCAACAGAGAAAAACATAACATGTTGTGTAAGTCTGTTACTTTGCTCACAATAATAGACATATATATGAACAAGCCCGTGAGTTCATATCTATTGGCAAAACGTCCTTATTCCGTTTTGTTTTTTTAAACAGCTAGGAAGATTTTGAGTTTGCCGTTTGTAATCTCATTCCAAAAATACGGAATAGCGGAACACAGCTTGATTCCTATGTAGAGCAATCAACACTGTACGTTTAGGAACCCATTGTTAACCGATACAATCAAACTCATCCAAGTGCGTGTTTGATTCAACGGCTACTGTCGTTACCATGGTGACCGTGTTGAGTGATTCCCATTGCTTTACCTCACGCTACCTGTTTCATGTGATCTGATGAATAATACGACACAGCTGACAATAGTCCACTTTCGGTCATTCGTCAGATGCTCTATTGGAATTGAACAAACACCGCCTAAGCACTTACTGTTCTATTCCCTTCATCAAACCCACAGCTTACGTGACATTACTGACCAACCGTTTGAGCAAGGATATCGACCAACTGAAGACCATACAAGGTAAATCAGCCTATTCCGAACATCCAGTGCTAATGCTTATCATTGTTTCGATTTTCTTTTGTGAATAATGCTTAACTGATCCTGTTTTCATTTAGCAATGAATCAGCTAACCAGGTACGTGAGCAAGATAGGCACGAGTACCTTCATAGCAAGAAGGATGTCGCGGAGTCTGTCAAAGAGCGTTTGTCCTTCTGTGTGCAGTATACACACCCGCGTTGCTTTCCAAAACCACATCAGTCCCTTTCTTTTCTCCATCAAAACAAACTGAGATGGATGTCAGAAGACGGCTTAATAGTCGCCTTCAACGGCATCGCCTAATGAGTAAATTGGATAAATCAATTTGGACCTCATGCGCACACGTAAGATGTGGCGCGCATTTCGCCACATCTCATTCTGTAGAATGCTAAATCCGCAAACGAGGGGTTCCATGTGCGGACCATATCCAGCAGCGTTTGTCTGTCTCCATGTGCATCCAAGTCCCTACACAAGATTTTGTGGTGTTTTCCATGTAAAGTAGGTCGACATTTCCTCCAACCTGTGGTTGCAAACAGTACCAATCATGACAAAGACCTACAAACATCACAGTTTGTACTACTTTCTGCGGTGACAATAACATACCTAGCTGTCGTATGCAACACCCACGGGGGACTAGTAAAAGGACCTGCTTTTAGCAGTTTGGCTTTTGTGGAAAGGTTGTTATTCGTGCGAGCAAAACCTCTCCAGGTAACTTGCACGAAACACCCCATCCTACCCTTAGTATTAGCATCAACAATGACAATGACACTCCGGAACAAACTGCACAACCACCTTGTAGCTCAGAATTTTGCGTAGCAGCAAAAAACAGCCAAAAGCTTTCGGATTCATTCTTTCCAAGGTGTGGCTTACAGTGAAGAAGGGTCCTCCAAAACCAAAAAAAATTAAAACTCGGTCATTCAAGACGATTGACATAACTGAGTTATTTTCTTCTAAATTAAAGGAACAGTCATACCTGTAGTTTGTTCACCCCAAAGGTATACTGAATAAATTATGCATTACGTAACATTTCCCCTGAAGTACTGATAACAACTCATGCATTGGAGGTTGCTTTTTATAGTTATATATTGCTAGAAAGCTAGAGGTGTCATATTTACAAATAAGCACTCTAGTCTTATCCTGATCCTCCACGTTAGATAAGAGATAAATTGATGTGGTAAGTCGTTTGAATGCTCTGAAATTAGCCTGTCGGTGAAAAGGGGAAACTCATCTCTAACTAACCATATTGATCATTTACATTGTGCGAATCGTATTGTCCCTCATTCTGAAAATCTAAGTGACGACAATTACTCACGCACACACAAGTGTTTTGTGCCCTACATGGATTTTCGACGGACGGCTTGATAGATGCACTCAAATAGCAGCTGTAAACGGCAAGGCAAATTATTATCCCAAGGTCACACACGGAGTCCCACGACATTGCAATGTGAATGCAAAATTGTTTTCTACAATAACTATTCCTCACGTGTTTTTTATTGAACGGGTGCACGCTCTCGAATCTACCCGACCTCTTAGCAGAGTTTTCCGGAAGCGATGCACTCTAGGTACGGACGTTTTCATAACAAACACAATGTTGTGTCACTTGCTGAAACGGCGCAGAGCTGTAGGGAGTGTCGTTCAACTTCTGACGATTGCATTCTTTGTTTCGCGAATAAAAATACTCACACACTTCCTATCTGACCTTTAGCATCTGACACAGAAATACGAACAGGAATTTTTGAAAGTGTACTGGAGAAGCTTTTTTCCGCATGTTCTTGTTTTGAGATGTACCCAGTATGTTGTTGTCTGAACTTCTCTGTTCTAAACATCGGGTTTCATTACAGATAACGCCATGGTTCTACGATGTCTGCAGTCACATTCTTCGTGACTCTGGGAAACAACCCTGCAACATATCTCACCTGTAAAGTCAGTTATTTGAAGACATTTTTATTCAGAAAATATCCAGGCAGCACATCAATCATTTCACACGATTCACCCGTGCAGGACAAGTTTGGACTGAATGTCAACGATGAAGTGTATTTCGATTTGGAATTATAGATGGCTGAGTAAAAGAAGGTCATAGAGACAGTCAATAAAATGTCATGTATCCACCTGATTCCTCTTCTTGATTTTCACTGAAATTTCTGTTCAGAAGGAGAAAAGTTACCCGGTACAATACGTATGGTAAACCGCTCGGGTGTGTCACTGGCATGGACTGGTGTTTGGGATAAGGTGTGAGGGTTGTTTAATCCTAGTAAGGTTGATGTGTTGCGGACAATTCCGAAGAAGAAAGATGCATCGAAAGAAGCCATTTGCGTATGACCCAGTTTAGGGTCTATATGGGTCTATATTAGAATAGTATTAAGTACAATCCACTGGTCAGATGAGTCGTCTCCATGTGTGGTCGGCCATCGCTAATCTGCCCACATAGGACAAACCTGAACTGGGAATACTCATAGTGCGTGAGGGCATATCACAGCGGTTAATCGTATGACCGAAATCGGAAAAACATGGTGGTATAGGAGTTCGTCCAGCCAGGTTTGCTAAACATCTTCAACGAGTTTTTTAAATCAGTTCACATCTCGACTCACTACTACCCTCAGGATGTCCAAAGGAGTAAAGTAAGCAGCGTACAGGATGGAAGAATATATGAAAATGCCATCTCTAACTTCATAAAAAAATGGCAAAGACTAAAGACTGCACCGCAACAGCTGGTTTCATATTAACATGATTCACTGCTATTCTTCACACAGAATTTGAGAACGTTCAGCCGATGCAGTAGAATGATTATGTGAAATACCCGTTGCTAGGTGACAAAGCACTTTCAACTATGGATTTATGCCGGCAAGAGGAGCGAAATTTGGAAGAACTGAATTACATGTGGTTGTCAACTTTCTTGATTCTCTGAGATACACCAAGTTCATGCCTTTGGCAGAATGCGAGTACAACCTTCTATAAAAGCCTTCAAGCTTTGTGCCTTTGATTGGAATTTCGAGACCTGACTTTCTAGACTAGAAGTGGAATCTCAGTATCCCTTTGTTTGGTGACGAGACGTTCACAAGTTGTGCACTAAGCTCCGCAAACAGTTCAACAACGAAAAAACGGAATTTCTACTATAATTCTATGCAATGTTGTGTTCTGGGCATTTTTTCACAGTTTACGATCTCTTATTGACCTAGAATAATCGGTAAGCTTATCTTATTCAAATGTTGTTGTCCAGTGGCAGAAGGTCATCTAACCGCCACTCCGCGTATCCAAAAACTCTCTCGATCAGGATTATTGAATCAAGAATGAGAGCCACCAATAAACTCGTCGAGTTTAAAGTACAAAATTTTCATAATAGTACTGCTTGATTTCGGCAGAATGGCAGGTTCACCTTGGTTCAGTTTATCAACCGTGGCAAAATCGGTTGAAGACAAACTTCGCCTGAAAATAACTAAAGGCACCGCACTACAATCTTTCGTAAGCTATATGCAATCGGGTAGTGGCTGACTGGAAATCAAAAGCTGAACAGCTCTGACGACGTCGATTCAGTCATTCACAATTCTGTCATAAAATTTTGTGCTGAAACCACATTTTATTAGATACTTGTTTATCTTGTGAAAGTGACACAGACAGCCTTGACAACAATTGCATTAACCGAGGTTATGCGTATAACAAACCCAACCTGCTAACGATCAGTTTGTCCAACCGAAAAACAGTCTTTCATGCGGCAAATCGGTGAAAGAATTATCTCACAGAAAATTGAAGAGGACGGTCCAGAGTTTTTTTTAACAAAAATGTTCACCCACGAACTCCTCCGGAACGAGGCTACACTCATTGATGGTTTTAATAATTGACTTCATCCTTAGCCCTAAAAACGACTACTTTCTTTTAGAACATTTATTTCTGTCAAATTTTAAATGCTTTGCCCGCGCTAACCTAAGTTCTCATTGCCCTAGTCCTCATCTCTACCAGCGACGATATCTTTAATAGACTTCTGTGGTTTTGTCTCAAGCAACGAATCAGCGTTAACAGATATTGTTCATTTTGTTGGAACCATCAACCGTCAGACGTATTTTGACGCTTACTGCGATAGCAAAGTAACCTAAATGATGCAGAGATTTTTCTGTTGTATGTAAAAGAAAATCAGACTCTTGGCTCATGAAAATTAGCTATATCAACTGTTCTTAAGGAGATTAAACTTTCTTGACGTTCAACTTCATTGTTTATACCACCATTAAGTGGCTAATGTGAGACTAGAAATGTGAGATCGGAGAAAGTTAACCAAACGTTCATATCTTCAGTAAAATAAAAGTAACGTGGAAGAATGAGAACAAACTCACCTGACGTTACCAGACACTTAATTCCGTTATTCATATGTTTTAACCCAAATATCATGGCTCCGGTTCCTCGAAACCTTGGAGAGCTATCAAGAATAATGCTATAATCATCTGTTTTCAATACAAACTGTCGGCATTCTGTTTTCCTCTTACCAAGTAAATAATCAACTTGAGTCATGTGAGAAGAAATTGTAAACACTTCCTGTAACGAAGTGCTTTGTTTCGGTATGCATCTGCTCACTGGTAAAGATTTTCAGTGAACATAGAACGGCAGTACATTGCTTCCTGGCCTCTGGGCATGGATTGGCTTTGATTACGTGACAAAATTTCATCAGTTACTATGCACGTGGTCACTGTTAGTCGTCCGAAGATTAATGATGAATTTTCTTCAGTCGGATCCTACTGGTATGAGTTGAAGTTTTCAGCGTAATTCGCAACAGATTCATACGATATCATTAAAACTTTAGAAACTACTGGTTAACAATAGCCCAACATCTGTCCTTTTTTCAAATTCTGCATGGTGTACTATTCTCTATTAGTAATCGTGTACTCAGAAAAAGATTACCAAAGTGTTTGAGTCATCTTTCAGACACAAAATTTACCTGGTCGTTGGCTTGTTCGCTGAACTGGGCAATGTGATTGCAAACGTTTCATCACCAATCGAGGTGCGTTCAACGCACAACCGCTAACCCACCACTACGAACAACTACGCTCCTCAATAACGCACTGATGATGTCACCTCGATTGGTAACGAAACGTGTGCAATCACATTGCCCAACTCAGCGAACAAACCAACGACCATCTACGCTACCTGTGCTACCGCCTTTTTCCACTATAGAGAAACGAAAATTACCTGTTTGTCCATTGTTAATTTCCGGCTGAGAATCCCACATCATGGCCGGAGGCGAATGCCCCGGAAGGCGACTCCACCTGACTACCCACAGTACACGCTGAAGTTGCCAACAACACCGTTGATTTCCGGCTGAGAATCCCACATCATGGCCGAAGGCGAATGCCCCGGAAGGCGACTTTACCTGACTACCCACAGTCCATGTTGAATTTGCCAACAACAACGTTGGCCGCATTTCACAGCAATATCCAACAGGGTCACTAACCATTGATTTGTGCTGTCCTGCGGTCCTCACATGATGTGACTGTAGTTAACAACGCGACTCAGGTGACTGGTGAGGAATCTCATACTTCACTCCAAAATGACGGGCTGAACGCTTCTGGTTCTTCTCCATCCAACACGAGGCTAGGCAAGGAGAGCTATACGAGGTGAAAGATTCCCTGGCATACAAATTTCATGGCCTTAGGAGAGAAATCTGTTCAGGGCGACCAGCTGATCTATCTAGAGGGAGTAGACCTTCCAGAAAATCATCTGGCGTACCACAGCATTACTGATATGATGTTCCAACCAGACCAGCGCACTACACTGTCAGTATCTTTCATGTATTTCATGTACGTAATTTGAACAATCTGTGGAGCGATGACGAGGTTTGGCCACGATTTATGGTCTAAAGAATCTCATGAAATTGACGAATGTAAAGACTGCACAACTAAAACTTCAGATTTGAGGCCTCCGCTGTTTACTCATGCAGGTACCATTCACGAAACAATGCGTTCCCCGGAGGTCCTACCAGGAAGCCTTAAAATAGCACCTGATCGAGGATTTTTGTCAGTTAATTCATCTTACCCCCTTGGCTGTAGTCAAATAGGTGATGCAATGTTTGGCTTGCGGCAATAAGTGACCTAGGTCAGAAGCATAAGATTCGCTTGATATCGACTGTTATCTCAATATAAAATCAGACAGTTCTATTTCGTTTTTGTGGGCAAATACGCTGAATAGCCTGTGCTAGATTACGCATATGCCTCAAACATCGGCTTTGTTTTTGTTGCCTAGGATTTTTTTTGTGTGTACAGCACTGCGTGTAATCATGAAGTATAAACATGGCATGGAATAATCGGATACATCCAAACTTCCCCAAGGATGCGCATCTGACTTATACCTATTTGTAGCGTGGATGGTTCAGACATGTAAACGTCCCAACTACGTTCATCACGAAAGGTAACACTGCGTGGTTCACATGTGCTGAAGCAAAGCAATACGTACTAGTCCCACTGTTCATCCCTTCTGTTCAACTGTGAACACACGCTCATGTGCATGTGCCGGGGAACAATCAGCTGGATTCCATATGTACTTGTCGCAAAGTTATCCCTGAAATAATTAATTCCTGGTGACATGACAGATGGGGAATGTGTTTACAACCTACCGCGCATGTATACCACTCACAAACACATGTATGTGGGACAATGGGATCAAGTCGGAATCGGACCATTTATTGTACATTTACCGTGATATGGAGAAGATAAATGATGGGTAATTCTGATGTTTCTTGTGAAACCGATCGTTCATAGCTTGTTGATAATTCCTGAAGACAGCTCTTTCTATGATGCTCCTCTGATGTGAGGTAGTCTCACGTGACAGGATGAAGTAGCTAGATTTACTTGTGAAGGGTTTTTTTTCGAGGAATTCCTGAAATGTTGAGTAGGAAAGGTGGCAGCCCACTTGAATGTCAGACGTTAGTAATCGGTATGCATCTGTAAAACAAGTCGGTCCGATGGAGAGATGGTTTGCATGACGGCTAAACTTGCAGTCTGAGGAGAAGCATCACTCTAGGAGCCGGTCATGTGACAAGGTGAGGTATAAATGATGGGTTATCCTGTTTAATTGCG